AGCGCTGCCGCTTCTTGCCTTGCGGCTCGTCCCGCGGCGGAGGGGCTGAGGAACAACGCGCGGTGCCGTGTTCCTGCGTGGAACAGGAGCCAGGGGAGACCCTACCGCCGCTGAGACGGCCAGGATACGGGTGTGCCAAGGTGTTCGTGGCGATCGGGGCAGAGCCCTGGGAGGTGCAAAGCCCGCCAGGACCCTAACCCTCGGGCTCGGCCCGACGTGCTGGAGCACTCAGTGAGCCGGGACTGGCATCCTGTCACGCACAGTGCAGAGCATAGCAGGAGGCCGTGCGCTTTGCAGCCCCTCCGGGGCCAGCTACTGTCCCCGCTTCCCGTCCCAGTTCCGGGTCCAGGACACCTTGAGGGAAAACCTCGCTACCAGCGGGAAGTGATTGGTGGCGGCGGACCAGGCGCACTTCTTGCCGTAGAGAAGAGCCTCTGTGGACTCTCAGTGGTGCTGGGGGCCCCGCCCACGGATGAGATCTGTGCCGTCTTCTCGAGCCAGGGTCGGGCCCCATCTCTTGATAAGGGCTTGCTTTGCGGGGCCGGGGCGTGCACAGGGCCAGGCAGAGCCAGGGCAGAGTGCGCTCCGGGTCCCTTCAGCGTAAGGTTCGCGCCCTCTCCTTATTGTCCCCGCGGCTTTGCGTGGTCCCGCGGAGGGTCGGGAGTGAGTTCTGGTGGGTCAGACTCCTCAGGCAGTCCTGCATGGCCCCACGTCCTGCCTTATCACTGTACCTTTGGCGAGTCCTGGTTCCCGTAAAGGTGGCTGCCAGCTAGGCTTCTCGTGTGGTCATTGACTCTGAGGGCAAGGCGACGCGCCTTTTGGCGTGTGGTTCGCTGCCACCCACCCCCTTCCCCCTCCCCTTAACACTTGTTACTACCCTCGGTGAATAGAAGTGACGAAGTGTCAAGCGCTGTTCATACATTTTCATTGCTGGAGAGTGGTGCAAGGTGTCCTTCCCGAGAGCAGAACGGGGCCAGGTGAGACATCCGTGCTGGACAAATATGGAAGGAAGGCAGTTTGCGACACAGGCGGCAGTGGCCCAAGTGCGGTGCCACGGACCAGGCTCCGTTTGTACATGTTTCTGGTTTTTGCACATTTCCCTCTGTAATATCTTAAGCAACCCGAGAGGAACCTTTCCGCACCTCAGGCGGTTCTTTCGGGGACGGTACCCATCTCCCAAAGGCAAATGTACAAAATTGGAATTACTCAACTTTAAAGCCATCGCTTCCGTAGGGGCGAGGGCTGTGTTCGGCATAGCGAGGAAATCGCTTCTGTCGGGAAATCTTCTTCATCGAGCACTGAGGAGCCGGGGAGGGATGTGCCATTGCCTGTGCACCCCAGAGCACAGGTAGAGCGCTAGTCTTGCCTGTCGTGGGGTTCTTCTTGTATCCCTTTCCTCCCTGGGGCACTGCTCCCAAATTTTCCAACCATCTGCTAGGTCTGACCGGTTTCACGGCAAGTTCTGAGCCCCCAACAGTTTGAAAACAGTGAGTTCTCAAAATATCCCTCCTCTTCCCTTTGCAACATGCTCCCTTCGCCATCTGTCCTGATGGAGCTGCCTCTCAAGGACAGACAAACCGCACAGACTGACTTCCCAAACTACCTGCCTGAGATTTGTGGCCCGGTGGTGTCGTGCCACCTTCTATAGTGTGACAATCACATCCGAATGCTGCAGGGCTCGCCCCGGCTGCGCGGTACTACCGTGCGCCAGAGCTGAACCGGCACCGGCGGCCCTGGGAAAGGGGGAAAGACTGGCATGGTAAATGAACTGGGCTATCCAGAACTGGGAACATCTTGCGCTTGGGTCAGCAGGAGAGATCCTCTTCTCCTCTTTCTTACCCCTTAAGACTTCAATTAAGGCTGTCAGGAAGATGCTTTGCCACTGTATTAACGAGAGGTACCCTGGCGCCTTGTCACGCTCTCGAGGATAGGGACACACCGTGGCCAAAATGCTGCTCTGGGAGAAGGCTGGTGGCAGAGGTTTTGGGGAAAACAGCCTATTTGGGGATGTTACTCCCCTTCAGGATTTGGAGGCACTTAGCCTGCCTGACCTAGGGAAACATTGCAAGGTGGGCTATGAATGTGTGCGTGTGGGTCTGCGTGTCTCGAGTGGGAGCAGTGGTGTCACGGGCTGCTCGACATGGTTTGCTCATCGGCTTTCAAGTGTCCGACTCCAGCCAGAATGTGGCAGGAGCAAAGACTCACCACGCCATGGGTGATGACTCCTTGGGCATGCAAGAGAGGGAACAGATCCAGCTCTGTGGCCAGGAAATTCCCCCGAAATCACCTCAGTGTTGCTAGGAGTTTGCTTTCTTCATTTTCCGTGTGTTTTGCGGTGTGACATGGATTTGAGAGGGATGCACGGTATACGTTAGATTTATACTTGTGCTTCTGGCTACGGTGCTCCACCCGTAGCAATCGTTCCCTAGCTGCACTCAAGTCCATTTGCTTTTGAAAAAGGAGATTCTTCTGCGTTGCAGGGGGCCAAAGTGAGGAAAGACCAGGCTCTCATTCAGGTGTGTCCCAGTTGAACAAGAGGGACCGCGAGCTGAGCCCCTGTTCCCCGGGTCTGCACAGGCCTGGAGCCCGGGCTGCTGGACGTGACACGAAACAGGGGCGCGGGGACCGCCCCTCAGCAGAGCAGTGCAGCTGTGGGACCGGCTGTGGATGAGCTGGCGGCTCCTGGGGGGCCGTGGGGCAGTCGGGGTGGCCGTGGGCTCTCCCGGACTCTCCAGCCCCCACAGCAGCCTCAAGGGCTGAGCACGACAGGTCCCTGCCCTCCCACCAGCGCCTCACACCCAGCTGCCGTGGGGTGCCCAAGCATTTAACCCAGCCAGTGCTGAGGAGGGCAAGGGAGGGACAGGGATGCCCGCAGTGAAAGGGGGCAGCGCGACCCCCGGGGAGCCCCGGGGCGGGGAAGGGAAAACATCTCTGTTCGTGCGGTGCCGAATCTGTGCTTGTTCTCCCAGGTGGGTCTTTCGGCTCAACGGGACAGCTTTGCTCGGGAAGAATGATCCGAGGGCGATCGAAGCCTCTGCCAAGCTGCGGCTGGGAATGCCGAGGGGCCTCCCGGCCGCCGTGCTCAGTGCCCCTCGGAGCGGTCCGCACCAGGCGCCGGTGGGCAGCTAGCTGGGCAGAAGCCAGCCGTGTGCCCTGGGCACAAGGAATGCTAGCAGCAGCTCTGAGCGGTACGAACACCATCACAGCCCAGGGAACCGAGGGAAGGGATTATTGCCCGCACTGTACGCTCGTGAGACAGCGGCTTGAGGGAAGTTTTGGGACAGCCGGTGCAGAAAGCAATCGCGAGGGGCGAAGGGCTGACGAGGCAGAGGAAGCTGGAGCAGCTGCCTGGGGCAGGAACGCTTCCCCGGAGAGGGGCTGTCTCAGCCTGGGGTACAGGCAGTGTCGGGGACAGCCCGCAGCTCTGCGGAGATGGGCATCCAGAAGCCTGGCTCTTGACAGTGGTGCGTGGTGAGAGATTGAGGGATGGCGGGCGTGAATGGAAACAGGAGTCCGGACGCACTCATCCCAGTCTCCTCCGAGGTCCCCGGTTCCGCATCGCGGGTGGACGTGAGCAGGGAACCGCATTGCCATTATATCGCCCCTCTAACGGGACACTCCCTTAGCTTCCCCTTTCCGGGACGGTGGGAGCAGTCCCACGGCCACGCGTGGACGCGTTCCTGACCTCGCTCAGAGGTCTCTGCCCTCCCTTCTCGTTTTTTTCGCGTGGTCCGTCTGCAGGCGGGACTTTCCAAGAAGTGGTTCTTGCAAAGCTCTTTGTTCCCTTCCGTGACTCACGCGTTTCCCTGCCGTTATCACGGCGATGTCAGCGGCTTTGAAGTCGAGTCATTTATTACCTTCCCGGAGCTGGCCCTGTCTTGCTCTGCTGATAGACCCGGGTACGTTTCCACGTGGAGTTTGATCTCTGCCAGCGCTGGTGGCACGCTGGAAAGTCACTTTCGATAAACCTCGACAGACTCTGCCGGACTAACTATTGCAGCGCTAATGACAGAGATAATCCTCTCCTAATCTGGCGGGTAATCCATTTCACTCCAGTGAGAATTTTTAAGGCTTTAATCAGTGAGAGTCTGTTAGGGAATTATTAACAGAGCCTCCGCCGAGCGAGATCGTCCAGAGAGGGGCAATGGGAGTGGGAAAAAGGAGAACGCAACGGGGCCCGATGAGGTCAAAATCGATGCACGGCCGAGCGCAAGAGCTGACGTGATGTATTTTGATGTTGCGATAGAATTGTCCTCAGTTCGAACGCCAAGAAAAAACCCGCGCCATCGATTCCTCCTATGCCCGCTCTGACAGCGGCTCTGTTGGCGGCGGGGACTGGCCGTCCCGGGAGAACGGCAAAAACGCTGGGGGTAAGATGCGCAGGGGTGACTCTTCCCGGTGCCGAGAGGGACGTTACGTGAAAACCAAGAGGCGCGTTTCGGTAGCGGTTCGCGGGGAGAGGTGCCGAGACGGTCCGGGGCCCCTCGCCCGACGTGCGGGCCCCGTCGGTGCGAGCGGCTGCGGCGGTGCCGGGCGGTGCGGGGCGGTGCCGGGCTGTGCCGGGCTGTGCCGGGCGGTGCCGAGGGGTGCCGGGCTGTGCCGGGCTGTGCCGGGCTGTGCCGGGCCGTGCCGCGGGGGCTCCGTCGGGTCCGTGCCGCTCCCCCCGCCCCGGTGCGGAGCGCCGCCCCCGGCCGCGCGCGGTGTTCCCCGGCGGGCGGCCCGGCCCCCCCGGTGCGCCCTGATTGGCTGGCGGCGGCGGCCGGCGGCACGCGCCCGGGGATGTCGTTATAAGACCCCTCGCGTGCCGGCCCGCGGCGCCAGCGGCTCCGGCCCCTCCCCCGAGAGCCGGGGCGCGGGCCGGGCTCCCCCCACCA